ACGGGACTAATGTTGACTAAACCCAGTAACAACTGCACAGGCTCTGCAGGGAGAAGAATAAAAATACACATAGCCCTTTGTCTTTAAAATCTTTCTCAAAACACCTTGGAATAGACTGAAGGAACAAAAGAGGAAAGGAAATTCCTGCAGGTTCCTGCTTCATGGGGCACCTATATGAAGTAAGAATCCAGCCCCAGGAGAAGGATTTATCACAGCACAGGGAGACTACCACACTCTTTATGAACGCAACTGCACTGTGCCTCAGCATGAGATTACTTGCTCTTGTGCTTGGGGAAATGAATATACCTTCATCTTCACACCATTTCCTGTCTTTTCCTTTCTCCAATAGCTTGGTAGAAGGATTTTCATGTACTTTTAAAGCAACTTCTCTTTTCCTACCCCCAGGCTCATGTACCTGAACAGAACACCTCCAAGCAGCAGTTCTTTTCAGTAAGCCTTGGTCATCTGATAGACTACAGGACAGCTAAGCTCTGTGACTGAAAAACCTGGACTGCTTTTCTACGGATGAATACTCACTGAATCCATCAAAGCTTCAGGCAACAGTGGACATGTGTATTCATATGCTTTTCTAAATCTGTTCCAAGCTGATGAACAGCCTAAATGGATTTTAAATTTCATAGCAAGCTTAGGCTACCACTTTGCGTCTGCACTGGCTGCTATTCAGCCTAAGAATAATCTAATACTTTACAGTGTGCTTCTGCTCAAAAGATAAAACTATACAGGGCCTTCAGAAAAGACAAAGCATTTACATTTTTTCAGGAGTGCACTTTTGATTCCTTTGCTGTGATCACAGTATTAGCATTTTCAAAGTTCACCCTTTAAAGGGCCATGAAAGTAAGACTACAAAAGTGCTTCCCCATTACACTAAAATCAGCCCTCCAGAGCAATCAGATGACAGGAATAGCACACAGATGACCTGAAGATATTTCCATACATCACATTATCAGTTTCAGGATATATCAGACACTTTACAGCTAAACAATATCACTAATTTGAAGATAACTGTTTACAGACCAGCTTTGTTAGTGACCTCATTTCATCTGCTTGTAAGCACAATTCCTTTATCTATGAGCAGAGGGCATGAATTACCACTACTGTGAAAATCCCTTTTTTAGATGCTCCCAGTGACTAGCTGTGTTGTAGGGTCAATTTCTTCTATATTTAGAGGATGAAGCTTCTATGAAGCTTAATTATTTCTCTGTGTGGCTTGTCTGATGAAGGCACTTCACAGCAATCAGTGCCTTCTTGACAAAAATACTGGCTTAGGGTAAACAGCCGAGATGTGGATCTGGGCTGTATTCCCCTGTGCCAAGTGGGGCTGTTTCCATCAGCATCACTGTGCTAGAACAGGGCAAGTTGGGAATCAGACAGTGTTCAAGTCCCATGAATAAATCAATTCAACCTGCCTTCAACGCTATGGGTTTGTTTTTTCTATTTTATTTTAAAAACAAACACAGAAAAGATTCCAGAAATTCAAACATTTTATATGGAGCAGATTTAAAAGGAGTGTTGGAAATATGCACACCAAAAAAAGCAATGAAGGGCCTGGAGGAATGCCACGTCCCCCAGCGTGCAACATACTGCACAAAACCTAATGGCACCATATGAAGATCCTCCTACATCTTATTCCCTGCTCCTTTTTCTGCTGTTTCTGGCCTCCATCCCTAGCCAAGTATTCAGGTGATTGCTTTTTCTTGGCCTGGCCACATCTACTAGCATCTCTTCTGCCTCTCTTAGCATCTGCCTCTTGGAGAACTGCCTTTTTGCCCCTTTCTCACTAGGAACAGTTCCACCTGGCCCTGACACTTGGGGTCTATATTCACAGAGGTCCTGCTACGTCTACCAGCTGATTTCATTTTCAGTGGTACCATCTGTCTGCCTCCCTCCTTGATCACTTTTAGCCCTAGGGCATTGCTTTCCTTGGTCACATCGAGTAACACAGCATCCTCTCTTGGCTAAAGGCTGAGTTCTGACTCAATCCTTTCCACTCAAATTGACTGTGCAACTGAGAGCACTGGAAAGATACACAGTAATAATCACAGCGGGTTCATAATGACATATCAGCACTAGAAAGGCTTTGAATCGAGTGTCAGTGCCAAGCATTTGGAGCAGATTTGCTACATTGCTATGCTGTAAGCTAGACTTGGGTGGAAAAACAATGGCTGAAACAGTCATTTGCAGGAAGCATGATCATTATTTCTATACACACACATCAACCTATCTGGAAATGCAGCATATAATTGATTTAACTCAATTTCAGTTAAAAAGCTCCTCTTAAAATGGTGTAATATCAACAAGTTCTGTGGATTTCACAAAGGGCTATACAGGCAGCCAAACATTTACATACTTATCCTTTACATGTATTCAATCTGCCTTATTGGCCAGGTTGTTATACTATTATAAACAATATTTAAAAAAGGGCACTTTCCTGTTAAACTTCATAACTAACGAAAAATTTTCCATGTACCTAAATTTCCATGCAGCATCCCACTACTATAATCTTTCCCGATTTGTCTTGCAACAGCCAAACCACCTGTAGCCCACAAAACAATTGTTGCAGCTTAGCACTAAATTGCCTGGATGCTAAAATGCAGCATTCAGATGTATAAGGCAAATCAGGGGGCTGATTTCACTGATGGGACTTCCACACACTGCCCTTGTTAGAACTCATATACAAAGTGGAGCACGTGCATGGAATGGATCAGACACAGAGGTGGCAGAGGAGCAGTAAAAACATCAGCACCTCTGGGAAGCTCATTTTGAGACCAAAAAGTCTCCCCCATTAAACTGGCAAAGCTGACTTTTGATCCTCTTGAGATCTTTAGCTTTTGCAACACACAGCAATCATGCTGAATGTTTCAGTGCTTCGAGATGGATGTAAATATTGATGTCTCACTTGCCAGCACTCCCAGGGAGAGCTTTGCCAGAGTGCAAGGTCCTTCCCACTGCAATGCCACAATACCAGTTCTTGACAAATTAAGAATGAACTGTGCAGATTCATATGGGTAGCAAACTGCTGCTGTCAAAAGGCTTGTGCTGATTTCAGATGCACTGGGAAAAGTACAGTGACACTTAATGGCAAAACTACCATCTCTGCTGAACGAAACCAGAAAATCCAATTAGGAATCCCTAAGAAGATCATAGCCAGGGTAAGAAGGAACAGGCACAGTCCCATTTTAGAAAAGCTCAGGTGAGAAGTTATACTCACAGAGTACTTATTTCAAAACCCTTATGTGAATGCACATTTTCTGATGCCAAATGCAAAACACAATCCCGCAGCAATCCATGATAACACCTCCTTCAGCTTGGACAATACCTTGTGCACTGGACACTTGCCCTGCTTATTATTTAAGACACCCAGTAATCCTGCCTTTCAGCTCCAAAGCTAAAGTTGTCTCTGTCCATATAATCTGTAAATTAAGTGCAGACACTGTTTCCTCTGCTGGAGCATGAATAGCTCCCTAGATCCTGAAGTAGTCAGAATAGAAAAAAGAGACTGGAGCTTGTTACAGCCATGACTCAGTCTCTCATTAAAAGTCACTACTATCAGCAACATAAACTATGGCAACGAAGGGTTGAGGCTTATGCATGTCATGAAAAATACTGGTCAACCAGTGCAGCCTTCCTTGCGTGAAGGCTTTAAGCATTTGTACTTGTGTAAGCAAAAAGTCATCAGGCTTACCAGCTAATTAAAAATCTTGTTTGCAATGCAGTAGGAGTAGGGAATGTATTGCAATAATTATCTTGGATAGAAGATATGTGTTTTACTAATGGCATAACAAAGCAATTGTACTTTTGATGTGTCCATCAGCAAGTGTGATGAAAATGGGTGGAGCATTATGCTTCTGCTACATGATCAGGGTCTGTAAGAGCTGAACCAGCAGTGTGCTCAGGTGGCCAAGAAGGCCAATGGCATCCTGGCCTGGATCAGGAACAGCGTGGTCAGCAGGACCAGGGAGGTGATTCTGCCCCTGTACTTGGTGCTGGTGATGCCACACCTTGAATACTGTGTACAGTTCTGGGCCCCTCAGTTCAGGAGGGATATTGAGGTGCTGGAGCAGGTCCAGAGAAGAGCAACGAGGCTGGTAAAGGGACTTGAGCACAAGTCCTATGAAGAAAGGTTGAGGGAGCTGGGGTTGCTTAGCCTGGAGAAGAAGAGGCTCAGGGGAGACCTTACCACCCTCTCTAACTCCCTGACAGGAGGTTGGAGTCAGGTGGGGCTTGGTCTCTTCTCCCAGGCAACCAGCAGCAGGACAAGAGGGCACAGACTCAAGCTCTGCCAGGGGAGGTTTAGGTTAGATATTAGGAAGAAATCTTCTACTGAGAGAGTAATCAGGTATTGGAATGTGCTGCCCAGGGAGGTGGTGGATTCACCATCCCTGGAGGTTTTCAAGATGAGACTGGATGTGGCACTTAGTGCCATGGTCTAGTGACCACGGTAGAGTTGGACTTGATGACCTTCTAGGTCTCTTCCAACCCAGCTGATTGTATGATTCTATGATTTTAAAATACTTACAGTCATGCCCTGATAACAATTTTATGGTGCTAAAAATAATTCAAAACTTGTAGAAGTAACAATAATGTTTGACCACATATCTTGTACATATTGTGGGATACACAGCTATACATATCTTACATAACTTTAACTTATAAAAGAACATACTTGAGTGATGTTTTTGGAGCCATTTTCCCTCCAAGATAAGATCTCAGGCATCTGTCATCTATCTTGCTTCTACCAAGCTAAGGAGGCTGACAGTGTGAAAGAGAAAACCTACTGTAGCTTCCATTTCATTTGACCTGCAAAGAGAGTCTGCAAAACACCAGAGTTCTAATGTTTCAGGAGTGACTATCAGTGACAGACAGGCATAAAAAGCATTTTCTACTGGTCACATCATCCCATATATCACCTCAGTTTTGAAACGAAAGAAATCCCAGTATCCCCAAGTTTATCAAAGACTGAGTTATATTGAAGAACTTACCTTTGAGATGTTACTAGAGCGGCTCACAGAATGCCCCAAAGCCTTCTCATTCTGAAAAAGGAAGAACAGGATCACTGCAGCAACAAGTCACAGCTATGAGGATATTTTAAAGCTAGTATTAGAAACCAAATTCCATGGAGAAAGTCTTACAGCTGTGGTTTTAAGGATGTTGATTCGATTGACATCAGCCTGATTTACAATAATCACTAAATCACTTTCTTTGCTTAACAAGATAATACCTTGCAGAAAATCACATAGGCAAGACAAACTGTGAAATACTAAACCAATTATTTCTTCTCTCTGTGGATACTGTAAAGCACTTAACTCAGATGGCATCTGTTTTGGAAAGGACACCTCTCAGTACCATGAAGACCTAATGAATCTACATTTAAAGGCAAACATCCAACCACTAAAACTGAAAGCTCTTACACTAAAACAAAAGTATCACAGTGATGTCTGGAAACACTGTGAACAACCACACACACGTCACTTCAGGACAAAGCAGAATTACTGAGGAACTTCCTATTTACTACAGAAGTCAGGACTGGAAATAACATACAAAATAGAAATGCAGAAGCTGCAATTTTCAAAACTGAAATCACTGATGACTGTATCTGTTACTCACTTTTCAGCATGCAGACCCTGACTGATAAGGATGACAATCTTATCTCTTACCAAAATAAACAGTAGATTTCACCAAGATACTTCAACCCTTAAGGATTACCCAGTTTCTGAACATCAGTTTACTACAAGTGTAACTGGACACAATTGGTCCACTGGGAAGAGCCTAGAAATGGCTCTGCAAAAACTTTTCCACAAAAAATCCAACAAATATTACAAACATGGCAAGTCATAACATTTGGTTATAAATCAGTAGCTATGTTTTTCTAAGTCTGTGAAAATTGGTTTGAGATTTAAATCCTCTGGAAAAAAAGGGCAAATTTACTACTTTCTCTCATGGGCTCTATGCTAGGTAAGAGTTTCCGGAAGTGCATCTTTTTGTCTGGGATTTTAGGAAACAAAATTCTTTCACCATTATTCCTGAAGAGAAATTAACCTAACAGACACTGATTGACAGCACTCTCTTCCACTTCTTCTTGGCACTGACTGATCAAGCAGAGCTTGAGTTCAGAAGTCCTGTATATACAACAAATAGGGACATAAAAAATTCCATGCCAAACAGTCAACTGCTGTTACTCCCACATCACCTTGGGTATAGCACACTGGTCTCAGACCTCATGCCTAGGGTTTGATACAATTCAAGTGACCCTTCAATGCCTAAAGCCCATATGCAGTCGGCCTGGCTGGCTGAGCACTCAGATGCTACCACCTCTTCTTTGAGATCCCTGTGCTCCCAGATACTTCTTCCTACAGTGTATCCCCAGAATGATTTGAAAGCTTTGTGTGGAGAAGACAAGGCATAAAACTTCAGCATGTGCTTAGCAAACAGGGTGTCCCTTCCTTACAACACCAGTTGCCTCTCAACATAGTCCTGGGCACCGTGTCAGTTGACAGATACAAATTGCACTTCCTTCCTTAAAAACATGAGGAAGCAAATACAGTGCTCTGAAATCTTCTGTATGTAAAAGTCTGTGCATCCAGAAGAAAGTAAAATGAATGTTTCAGGAGAACAGAGGAAAAGCAACCAGGGAACTCTTATGTGCCAGTTTTGACTGATGGCCAAACTAAAAATCAGCAAGGTTCAGTTTAAGGTCTGGAACAGTTGTGGCCCAAATTTGAAGGCCAGATTTGTACACTGCAAGGCTGAGCTTGATTTCCAAGATGACTATGAGCTTTTGTTACACAGATAACAGTATTCCTGGAACAGAAAAAAACCACATATAGACCCCCAAAAATATGGGCATAATGCTTATGTGAAGACTGATAGTGTTGGATGAGACTACTGCCAGAACCAGTACAGCTAAGAACTGGCTCCAACCATAAGGGAAGGACCTAGCTGACTTCATCAAAGGCAGTGTAACTATAGCAACAGCGGAGAAAAAAGTTAGTTGAAGCTACAGAAGAGAGGAAGAAGAAAAAAGGGGGCAGGGACATGCTCTCATGCTATGACGAAAAGAGACCAACACAAGCACAAAGGCTTGTCAGAAAAGGGGGCAGGGACATGCTCTCAAGCTATGACAAAAAGAGACCAACACAAGCACAAAGGCTTGTCACTGCCTATGTGTGAGGTGTGGGGGAAGCAGACTGTGCTTGGCCTTCTAGGGATGCGTGGGAGGTAAACAGAGCAAAGCTACGTGGGATAAGGGAAAATGATAGTGAAGAGTGGGACTCAGGCAAGAAGTCTCCCTGAAGCAACACATACAGCTCCACACAGGGAACAGGATCAAATCCAGACCTAGGTGCCAAAGATGACAGGGTTAATTTCCTAAGAACAAAATTAAACAGAGTAGAGGTTTCTTCATGTTATCTCAATGCTCCCCAAATACTGCGGTCTAGATGAAGAAGATGCCTGCAAGGGAGCATGACTGAACTTACACATGCACCTGCGTTGAAAAGGATGTGCTAAAATTCAACAAGCATGAACAGTCTGGAGGACAAGACCCACACTTGCACAACATGGTAGATGATGCAGAGCAAACAGACTTTTAGTCGCTGCCACAGGAACTATACTTTCTGCCTCTGCTCCCAGAACTGATTTTATCTGACACATGCCAGGAGTCTCTATGACACAGATATGCATATTCTCTTTATTGATCCACTGTTGGAAACATACTTATGAGAGGTTTCAGTCAGTAGACTACTGCAAACAGTTGGTTTTGTTATTGAAAGAATGACCATTGTAAAACAAAAAAGGAGTGTTTCTTTACCACACACATCTGGTATGTCCAGAACATCAACAGGAAATTCACTACAGTCTTAGCCCAGATTGGCCAAAATCTGTACTACTTACCCTGACATGGAGGAAAAGCACAAACTCAGCCACATTTTCAAGGAGTGGCAACTGACCCAATAGCCACTACCAGATCCAACACAGACTTGCAAATAATACGCACATTTTTCAGTCTGGTTGACCTGTCAATTACCAAGCAGCCCCATCACCCAGATAAAATTGCATCAGCCCTTGGACACCGAATGACCCTGCCTCAGCCTGTCATCTAATCAGGCACAGTTTTTGAAACAGCACCAAGTCTCATAGCTTACATACACACAGACTTTAAAATATGTTGGGCTGAAGAACTGAGATAAACAACTGAGTTTTGCTGTGCAACAGCAATTTCCAGTTCACTATGACCACTCAAGCAGCACTCCCACTGACGGAATGGACTGTGCTTTCTTGCCAGCTTCTAAAGGACCAAAAATAATTACTTTTATTTTGTCATTAAACAGCAACAGAAACACCTCTAAGTAATACAGTTGATGAAGTCTAGCTGTGCTGTTTAATTCTCTTTTACAAATAAAATAATAAACATCGATCCTTCAGGACAAAGCACTGTGGAAACAATTAAACAAAGCCAGCACTTGCTGGTGTTTCCCATGCTGTGATGTATTAAGATGCTGCATATTTTCCAGTCATTAAGATAGAAAAGAGCTGTAAAGCCATGGAAGGAGCTCCTGGAACAGGTAGATTTTAATAGCAGGCACAATTACTAAGTGAGGAACAGAAACATTAAACAGATAAAAATTATTTTAAAGGCAAACAAACACAAGCTCAGTTTTCACACTATATCCACCACCAGTACATTCATCCTGGGATCTCTTACCAATTATTCACAAATCAACACTGACATGAGAGTGGCAAGGCTAAGCTGCTATTATGGTGCTATCACTACCCAACAAGTAAAAACCTTCAGAGACTTCTTCCAGAATGTTCTGCACAGTAAGACATATTCTGGCCTGGTAATTACAGATCTGAACAAGCTCTCCTTCCCTCTTGCAAAGCACTAGTGTTTGCACTTGAATGAAAGGTCAAGACAAATGCAACATCTGACAGCATGGACCATACAATTATCACCAGTTAAAGCAAGTGTCACTCTCGTTTAGCAGTTCAGCCTTTCTGTATGGGATAATACGAATCCTGCCTTTCAAAATCATCCTACTCAACTAGAAACACCTGGTAGGCACTTAAAAAACCCCAGCACCTAGACATGAAAAAATTACAAGAACAACTTGTCACTTTTCTTGAGCCACTCACTGCCAGCTGCTGCTCTGGAGCCTAGCTCCAGGGAAATGACTGAAAATCAGAAAAATTGCTACTCATTCCTACAGTGACATGATTCTCTAACCTTTGCTTGCAATTGCCAGAATAGCCCTCCCAGCTTGCCTTTCTTTTTCTATCTTCCCCTTGAATTTGCTACTAACTGTGAGTGACAGAGCTGCCTCCTCCCTTCAGCAGTTGTTTCAGCTGAGATCTGTTTCCAGCAGGGCTCTTCATCTTGCCTTCTCCACCCTGCTAGCTCATTTTCCCTTCTGCCACCATTCCTTTGTTATTCTTGCATGACACCTCACCCTTTTCAGTTCAGAGGTCTAGCAGCTGGTAACTCCTTTCTGCACTTCCTTTTACCTCAGTCTTCCATATATTCATCACTTCAAGTTATTTTACTCTTGCTTCCCTACCGTAACATATCCATTTTCTACTAAGTACAACAATGACATAACTCACACAGCCAAACCCAGAAGCCTTGTGAATCCCAACACACTAGTTCCTACCACCTGAGCCAGAGCAGCCATAGATGCTCTTGTGCACTTACAGCACCAACGTATCATGCTGACCTTTCTCCCAGCTCAGCTGGGGACTTAATGCAGCCTCAGCAAGCAGGCACCCTAAAGAAACACAACTTAGATGTCCCTGCCAGGATGGAGGGTAAGAAAATGTATCAGTAAAATAGTTTGGGTTTGTGTTTCTAACACTTTGGTTCCCAGACATTAAGGCAGGTAAAACAAAGACAACAGATAGCTTGTGCAGCCTTTTTCTGGCTACATCCCAGACTACACACTATGTTCAGTCCTAAGTATGGTTGATGCTAAACTCCTGTTTATCTCTGCTCATAGACTCACAGAAGACAATGCAATCCAGATCCCAATGGTTTAAC